GAAAATGGTCACATTATACATTGGTTTAAGGATTTTGAAAAAAAGGAATTATTCTATGTTTATGTGTTATTGAATAAAATGGATATCTGGATAAAGCTAACCGAAAAATGAATGAGATGTTGTTATTGCTTTGGTGTGATTTTTTTCAATGCGCGACAATTGATTCAGATTTTTGGTTGAATGAAAATCAAATTTTGATTTCAATCATGGCATGGTACTTTTGCAATATTTTGCCTTCCTTGCCTTCATTTGAGATAACTCATTCATGCACATTTTGAACCGTTTACCCTCTATCAAAAAACATCACAAAATACACAATCAGATGAACGGCCTTCTGGTTGGAGTGGTTGCTGTTCAAGTCTCAGAACGTCAATTCAATGACGCAATTATTTTGTTTGACGATTATTCTCAATTTGAATAAAATTATTTGTTTTTTACTCACATCAATGATAACATAGGCCAGCTGCCTGATTGAGTTCATATGTTATAAGGAAAGAATTTTTCTAACTTGGAAGCTTTGTTAAAGTAAAATAAAAAGAGCCATATATTTATTTTTTCTTTACACATATTTTTTTTGGATTTCCTGCGGATGTTTTTTGCTTTCCACTTTGCGTCACGTCAAGCGGCAAGTTTGCTGCCCCGTAGCTGTCCGGCAATGACTGAGGGCAATCGTGAATACAGATCCTGCATGCATTTTCAAGATAGCACCAATTCAAAAAAGCAATGTGGTAAGGTTTTTGGCTAGCTGAGTCAGTTTCTTTCAAGCACCGCAGGCCAAACCTTGCCATGATCTAGTAGCTCTTCATTTTTTTCTGCTTTCCTCTTTTGCTGCAATGTATATTGTTAAATGCACCCATCTGTGTGCATTTGGCAAAATAAGAGAATCAAACCAATATCCTACTATGTATATTTTTCATTTTCAAACAATAATATTTTGGGAGCAAAAATCCTTGCAAGGGAAGCACTTCATTTTTTTACTATCACTTTTTTTTTCGGACACAGTCAAATGGCAGAAACAGTTGTTGAAAGATCAGATCTTCTCAAGATTTTTTTGGATTCATTTTGATCTCGAAATATTTTTGTATTTGCAATTCCGATATATAAATTTTTGTTTTTCTCTATCAATACAAAAAGAAAAATAAAAGAACATATTGTCTCATATTGTATACAAAATGTTGATTATATTCTTTATTTTCTGGTTTTTTCTATGTTTTCCCTGTTTGAAGCATGAAACAGCCATTTGATCTCTATCAAAACATTACATGGCATGAAAAAACGTAGTCTGGATGTGTAGCTGTTCAAAAATGTAGAGAAAGAACAAATGAAATTATTTGTTCCGTGAAATGAAGTGGAATAAATTCGTTCAAAACATATATACAAACACGGACAAAGACCAATACCAACTGCGTGAATTTGGCCCTTTTTTGTGATTTCATGTTTGTGGCATAATGCCCAACAGAAAAACAAGTCACAATTTGTAAAATCAAAAAAGCAAATAAATACAAAAAAAAAATCAAAAAAAACACTCACAAAAAAGACAAGATTTGGACATCAAAAAATATCAAAAAATTGTATATAAATGTGTATATATATAAAATGAAACAAAATATACTTCATGATAAAAAACATGGTTAAACTTTTTGTATTTTACATATTTGTAAAATGCCTATTAAGACACCAAATAAAACAACGAATTTAAAGTATATTTAACAAAAAATACAAAAATTCACAACATGATGATTGCTGATTTTTTCAATTAATCATATTTTTTTCATCAAAACAAAACAAGAAAATGGTCACATTATACATTGGTTTAAGGATTTTGCAAAAATAAAAATTATTCTATGTTTATGTGTTATTGAATAAAATGGATATGATATCTGGATAGAGCTAACCCAAAAATGTTTTTTTCAATGCGCGACAATTGATTCAGATTTTTGGTTGAATGAAAATCAAATTTTGATTTCAGTATTTGAATGGTATTTTTGCATTATCTTGCCTTCCTTGCCTTCATTTGAGATAACTCATTCATGCACATTTTGAACCGTTTGCTCTCTATCAAAAAACATCACAAAATACACAATTGGTTGGAGTGGTTGTTGTTCAAGTCTCAGAACGCCAATTCAATGACGCAATTATTTTGTTTGACGATTATTCTCAATTTGAATAAAATTATTTGTTTTTTGCATGAAACAATGATATTATAGAAGCAGCTGCCCACTTGACGGGAGTCCACATGCCACAGAACAACATCAACTTGGAAGCTTTGTTGGAAGAAAAGAAATATATATATTAATTCTTTTCTTTACACATATTTTTTTTGGATTTCCTGCGGATGTTTTTTGATTTCCACTTTGCGTCACGTCAAGCGGCAAGTTTGCTGCCCCGTAGCTGTCCGGCAATGACTGAGGGCAACCGTGAATACAAGAAATGATGATCCTGCATGCTTTTTTCAAGATAGCACCAATTCAAAAAGACAATGTGGTAAGGAGTTTTTTGGCTAGCTGAGTCAGTTGCTTTCAAGCACCGCAGGCCAAACCTTGCAAAATGATCACCCAGTGATTGTTTAGTAAGTCTTCATTTTTTTCTGCTTTCCTCTTTTTCACCCATTTGTGTGCATTTGGCAAAAATAAGAGAATCAAACCAATATCCTGTTATGTATATTTTTCATTAAAAAAAATAAAATATTTTGGGGAGTTGTAAAAAAATGGAAAGCAAAAATCCTTGCAAGGGAAACACTTCATTTTTTTTACTATCTCTTTTTTTTCGGAAACAGTCAAATGGCAGAAACAGTTGTTGAAAGATCAGATTTTCTCAAGATTTTTTTTGATTCATTTTGATGTCTCGAAATATTTTTGTATTTGCAATTCCGATATATTAATTTTTGTTTTTGTCTATCAATACAAAAAGAAAAATAAAAGAACATATTGTCTCATATTGTATACAAAATGTTGATTATACTTAATCAAATCCTCAATATCAAAATTATTTTTTTCTTTATCCGGTTTTATAATTCTTTATTTTGCTTTCCTTGCCTGCAGCATAAATAAGCCAATCCATTTACTCTTCATCCAAATATTAAAAAAAATAAAAAAAAAACAAAAAAAATATAAAAAACAATCAGATACATTCTGCTTCAGAACACAAAGCAGCCAATACAATGTGCCGCAATCATTCATTGTTTTGTTTAATCTATATTAGGAGCTTGGTAAAAAGAAAAGAAAAAAAAAAAAAAATTAAAAAGAAATCAGAGATATCGAGGTAATCAAAATTGTGTTTTTTTTTGATTTTATATTTCAATATTATTTTCATATATTATAAAATCGAAAATCATATATATTTTTCATATTTTTTTTTAAATATAAAATAAAATTATATTATTTAGTGTAAAAAAACAACTTATCAAATTCCTTCGATCAAGAAATTAAACAAACTCATTAAAATATGAATATCAATATTAAAACATAATTCACAAAACATAATGAAAACAACCCGATAAAAAACCAATACAAATACCAAATGCAAAAAAATCCCTCGAAAAAACAAATTATATTTATAATATAATTCCCACAAATCTATAATATTATATCATAAATATTTACCGATCATATTTACCAAAGACAAATCACAATTAATAAATCAATTACATAATACAATTTCTAAAAAACAAATTCCAAAATTTCGATAGAAAATCGAAAATAACAGATCAAAAAACTATCACTACAATATCAAAAAAACTATCAAAAACCTATATCAAAAAACATACAATTTCAAAATTATATCATTTTATAAATCAACAAAATATATAAACACAATATATATTTAAATTATATATATATATATTTACTAAAATTATAAATATTTAACAAAACAAAATATATCATTATAATATTTTTAAATATATTTAATTCATATATTCAATATACATAAATATCATCCAACTCATAATTGTTTTATAATATCTTAAAACTAAAAATATTCATTTTTTTCATTAAAATATTAAATAAAATAACAAAATCAATATTTTTTTTTTTTTTAAAAAAATATATTATATAATCAATTAATTCTAAATCATAAAATAAACAAATCAAAAATACACCATGTAATTATTACTAATAAAAAATATATATTTTTTACATTGTATATATATATATAAATACATAATAAAAAATATATATATGTATTTTTATTTTTTTTTTTTATAAAAAATCGATTATAAAAACCTATAATATACAAAAAACTTACCAAACCAACATATTTACACAATTTATTAAACTACATATAAAATACATTTTTTTTTTTTATATACCTGTATCCATATATTCATTTTTTTTATAATACATAAATACACATATATTCTATAACAAACATAGGAAATTTAATGTATATTTTCAATTTTTATCGAAATCAATATTACACCAATATATTCTTATATATATTTTCAATTATCTAATTACAATATTTTATTTTCAATCAAACGATTTCAAATATATTATAACAAAATACAAAAACTCAAAAAAAACACATCAAATTATAATAAATATTACTTTTCTATTGTCAATTATCAATACAATCGGTCAGTTCGTTGAACTGACATGCCTTGAAATAATAATTCTTGTATAAGGTCTGCACCTGGCGAAGTCCAAATCAAACTGCAAAAAAAAAACGAATCAATGCAATCAATCCGGTTATCAAATCATTCCATGCAGCCCCCGGGCCAAAAACCCTTCAGCAAGCGAGATGCGAGGAATTGCTTACGACATGCAATCAGCAACGCCTTTTTGAGCATGAAGCGCGCACAGCCATTATGAAACTGAACGCACGACATGGCAGCTCTGCTCTGGCAACTCGTCGCCCTTGCAGTGTTGCCGGAAGCGGTGCAAAAGGTGCATCCGATTTTCACGTTTGCGAACTTGTATTTGGAGCTTTGAAAAGACTTGTCTGCAAACACAGGCTTGAGACACAAGCGCTTCACACTATGACTTTGTTTTTTATATCAAGGACTCTTGGCGCGGCTGCCTGAGCCTAGGTGAAACCGGTGCAACCACAAAGCCCCACCCTATTCAGCGTGCCTGAAAAGCTAAAATTTACTTCAAGAAGCCGGACAGAGGTTGAGCTGCCTCGGAAACTTTCATGATTCATGAATCATCTTACATTAGCAGCACCAAACAAACATCGATCCAAAAATGTTACGCATTGGTTCGAACTTTTGCGCGCGTACGCTTTGGAAGCAAAATGCTTGACCTGCATTTGCAGACGGTTAAAAAAGAAACTGGACGTTTGCGCCGTCAGCGTTTTCTGCAGAAGCAAAAATAAGAAGGCGAGCCACGTCTGCTCCCTCTTTGGGGCAGTAGTAAGCAGCAAAATCCTTCTTTGTGCGCCACCTGCAAATGTGTGCTTGCCAGGCTGACTTGGCAACACGGTCTTGTCCCAAACCTTTGGGTTGCTGTGCAGGAGTGGAAGCCGCCCTGCGTCCAGGTCAGCATTTGCGCAGCGTGTAGAGCACAGGCGCGGAAAGGCCCCGAAGGCATTCATCTTAGTGAGCTGATCTTCGTGGTTCCTGCGGTTCGCGCAGTGAGGTCCGAAAACTTGAAGGCCAGCATGGGTTCAATATGTTTCCCCTTACAGCCCAAAAGCAAACTCAACAACACATTACAACCACTAATAATGTTAAACCGGCAGTTCGCAAAAACGGGTTCTTTTTGAAACAGGTTTTGGTGTGTTTCTTGCATCCGAAAGACAACACCCTTTTTGGGTCACTTTCAGACCATGTGCAATGAATAAACAAATAGTTCAGCAGTTGAATGTTTTTCCATTCTGACTCTCTTTATTTGTGGGAAGGCAATGCCGGGAGCTTTTTCTTAGCAAAACAGAATGACAAACAACTGATTCCATTCAATCATTTCTGAGAGGATTTGAAACATTGTCCTGGGAGTTGCACCCGCTGTGGGAAGCTATCAAGAGCTCCTTGTGGCAAAACGAAGAGACGTCAGCTTTTTCTTTTCGGTGATCCTTTTCGGACAGCAAACGCCAAAGTCAAAAGAGGCAAGCGCAGTCTCCGGCACACAGTGTAGCTGAGGGAAGAGGATGCTGTGAATTGTATGGTATGTTTTTTGGGTTCAAAATGGAAACCAGCAGCATTTCTATCTTGAGTTAGGATTCACATAGAGCCTTCTTTGCAAATACAAGCTTGATTTGCAAATGCAAGCTTGATTCAATGTAATTACCTGTTAAGCATACTTTAATAAGACTTATCCAAATTAATGGACCTACACAGCACATCTTGCTCGATGCTTGGCGCAGGCCACATGAATGAAACAACCATGTTTCTTTCTGCGTTAAGTTCCATTAAAAATCTACCTAGACCTTAAGCCGAACTTAGCTGATTAATCTTCATATCCTGTCTAATCTATTTTCAACAGCATCTAAACATCAAAGAACCCAACAAAATCTGGCAAGGGAAAGTTTGCAGAGATTCAATACAAAACGCAATCGACATCGAGAAGTCAAGATGATTCAAGGACCGGATAACCCCACATGCAAAGTTTTTGCAGCAAATTTGACCAAGGCCCCTGGAAGAAGCGAGAAGGAAAGAACGCAGCAATGAGTGAAGCCGAGACCTTTCTTGTCGCGTTGTGTCAAGTAACTTCCAGCCATCTCATGTCAAGATCAGCTGGATGCGCAAGAAGAAGCATTGAAGAAAGGCCCCTACGAACTCCATGCGCAATGGGAGTGAGATGAGTGAGATGAGCCGGAGTAAGATTCCTGTGAGTTGACGAGATGAGTGAGAGTTGGGCCGAGTGAGTGTGAGTGTGAGTGAGATGAGTGAGAGATGAGATGTGTGTTTGTGTGAGCCTGAATGGGGTGAGCGAGCGCTGAGATGAGTGAGAGTGAACAGCTAGCAAGTGTACATCGTTGCTTTCAGTGCGCAGTCTAACACCAGGAGAGCGCCGAATGCCACTAAATCTGCTGCACGCCCGCCCAGTCACAAAGTGCTGCGCCTGCCACGCACAATGGGCCCGAAGCACGAGCAGCATTGCGCCTGCCACTCAAAATGGAATGGGGGCCCCGAAGTGTGCGCTGCAACACAAGTTCTTTAGAGAGCACCAAAGGCCGCCCTTGCCTGCCACAAACTGCGCCTGCCGCGCAAAATTGTGGTCGCTTTAGAGAGCACCACATGCGCCAAATACTGCGCTTGCCAGAAAATCTGCAGGCCTCTGCACGCCCAGTCAGAATTAGCTGCGCCTGCCACGCAAAATGGGCCCGAAGCGCGCAGTGTAACCAAGTCCCCGTAGAGCACCAAATGCTGCCCTGCCATGCAATCGTACACCCGTGCTCACCGGTGGACAGCAAAAAGCGCAGCCCCCACACACAACAACGCAAATGTCCGTGAGCAAAAGATAAGCGAGAAAGCACCGTTTTCCGGCACGTTCAAGTCTCTCAAGGTAATTGTGAGCAAACCTTCTGAACAGTTTGGTCCTCAGCAACTACCGACGGATTGCGCGCACCTTGCGCAGGCCACGTGAGAATACCCAAAGAAAGCGAGTCACCAAAGGCCAGGCTTGACCAAGAGCTTCAAATCATTGGCTTGAGAAGCCTGGGCTCTTGGTGAACACGGTAGATCTGAGGCACCCCGAAAAATGCCAGCGCGCAAAAACACTCGAACCACAAGAAACTGATGCTAAACAACGTGTTACAGGATTTGTCGATGCCGTTTTTAATCTCAAAGTCGCCTGGCCGCTCAAAGATCCAGAAGAGGAACCATGGCAGGCTTCCCTTCTAGCTTCTGCACTCCGGCCATTTCCCACAAGTTGTTTGCATGTTGTAAAATCAGAATTCGGCCAGCAAACAACCAGCGTCCCTCAAGAAACAGCACCCCATCAGCCCAATGGATGCTATTTCAAATCACACGTGTCACATGTTTTGTGCTTCACTTACTTGCTCGCCTCCGTTCTCACTCACGCTGGAATCTCACCCTGGAATGTGCAGCTGAGAATTTCTCTTGAACCTGAAAGGCTGGGTCCGTGAACGGCTTGCCGAGAGCCAGCAGGACCTTCTGGCTGAGCAAAATCAGAGACTGACCAGGTGACCAACTGCAGCTAGGGTTGAGGTAGGAAAACCGCTTGATGCCATGGTTGTGAACAAAAAATCTTTCCGTACTACCAATTCTGAGCGTGTCGCAGAAATTGGCCCCAGAAGCACGTTTTCGAAAACTATACTTGCTGCCCCGCTGTTTGGGACGCAAACACTGTTTGTGGTGGCTTGGCGGAGCAATCGCAGAGGTTTGCAACGGAAGGTTTAGCTTGTGCTCCACAGAAGGCCGGAGATCATTTTGAAGCTTGTGGCAGTTCCCATCTGACAACGATAGCAATTGCAGGCTTGGATGATGCCACCTTAACTGCGTGTGTCATTTCAACACCCGAATTACTTGAGAACCCCCCAGTACCACGCAGCCAGTCGGCGGAGAAGACTCATAGTTCTCTTTCCCGCTCTCTTTCTCTTTCTCTTTCTGTTTCTCTTTCTCTGTCTCTTTCTCTTTCTTTTCTTCTTTCTTCTCTTGTCTCTCTCCCTCCCCCCCTCTCCCTCTCCCTCTCCCTCTCCTCTCTCTCCCTCTCCCCTCCCTTCCTCCTCTCCTTTCTCCTCTCCCTCCTCTCCCTCCTCCTCTCCTCTCCCTCTCCTCTCCTCTCTCTCTCTCTCTCTCTCTCTCTCTCTCTCTCTCTCTCTCTCTCTCTCTCTCTCTCTCTCTCTCTCTGTAGTACAACACCGCATGTGCATTGACAGCGTGCCTCAGTTAAAAGATCTTGTAGTATTTTTTCAACTGAAATGGAAATGTCAGTATTGACAGTAGTGAAAAAAACAGATGATGTTCATCCATGCTACTGTAGTGAAAAGGAAAAGAGGTGTGGTTGTCAGAAGCTCTCGCTGTTCAGGATTCAGTCCCTGATGTAGTCGGACTCAACGGAGTTCGTGAGGTAGCACCTGATGTTGTAGTCCAGCATGTAGTTTCATTCATGGTCGTACTCCAGTTGGGCCTGGTTGGGCTCGCTCTCATGTAGTTCAGGATTTCCCGACCTGAGCCCCATAATTTGGAGTTGCCTGAGGGTGCAGCAGCTGGGGCCATGTGTGTTGGTCAACAAGTTGTAGCCGCTTGACCGTGCTGTCGTTGTGGTGTAGGCTGTAGAGTGTAGTAGTTGTCGGGACTACCATCTTCCCAAATGTAGCCAGGGTGTAGCGTAGGGTGAAGTGGTTGATGAGTTGCGCGCATTGCTAATACTTGAGGCGTAGGGTGTAGTTGCTCATGATGGAGGTGGAGTGGCTGATGAAGTAATCGAGGGAGTTGTCGTTGAGCAGTTGCTGTATTTAGTCCGTGGGTATAGTGCAATTGTGACAAGGATGTGTTGGTAGTGGTGTGTGGTTCTGTCAATCTGTGGAGTGCCACAGATGAGCATCTGCAGCAGAGTGCATCATCTGTCTTCGGTTGTAGGCTGGTTCGGGAGAAAAGGTGTAGCTGGCTCTGCAGTGGCTGTGGTGTAGAAGGGGCTGATTGCAGTTGCATCATCATCTCAACAGTCAAGGGAATGTAGAACGAGGTGTAGCTGGTGGTGCAGGCGTTGCTCGTCGTAGGATTGTCTGGTTGATGTGGAGGTTGAAGTTGCTCAAGTTGTAGACGTCCTGTAGGTTGGCATTGAGTGGCAGTGGATTTGCAGTGGTCTGTAGCAGTTGTGCACTGGTACCGCCATCATCCTCAGGGAATCGTAGTCACAAAGTGGTCACATGGCTGTAGTGACCTAACACGAAGTGAAACTGAAGTGCAAATGAGTCTGCAGTTGCCAACAGAAGCGGGCAGACATGCAAACAAACAAAAACGTAGTGTTGTTGTGAAACAGTTGTGATGGTCGTTCGTGCTAAATGCGTATCCCAATGCTCTGCATGAGCCTATGTAGCGTTTCCTTGCTGATGTAGCGTTTCCTTGCTGATGTATTTGGTAAACAACTGCTGTTGTGAAGTGTGTTGATCTTGGAAAATTCTGAAGATGTCGTGTTTGATCAGGTCTTCTGTGTAGAGAAATTTGTGGTTGATGTGTTTTGCTCGTTTGCTTGTGCAGTCTGTGTGAATGCTTGCTGCAAATGTTTGTTTCAAGTAGGAAGTTGCTGATGTGTAGTGCCTCATTAACTCCTGTGCAAATTGCGCAGAGCTCAGATTCTGCTGAACTGAGTGGTATTGTAGCTTGTGCTCTGCTGCCACATGCAACTGTTGTTCCAAGAAAGATGATGTTGAAACCTGAAGTTGAATTCCGGTGGTAGGGCATCCTGCCCAGTCGGCATCGACATCAACATCGAGATCCAGGATGTTGCTGGTGTTTGCTTTTAGTGTTGTTGTTGGTTCTATGGTGAATTTGTAGTGTTTGGCGCCACGCAGGTAGCGTAGTAGGTGCTTGACTCTTTTCTGTGAAAGTTCTGTAGGTGCTCCAAGGTCTCGTAGGCAATGTCTGGTCTGGTGTATGCTAACCGTTGAAGTTGACCAGCAATTTTTCAGTACCTTTTGTGTTGTTCGTGGTCGACTAGTGCTTCCTTCATCCTCTATTGACTTTAGTCTTACAAAGCTAAGCTTTTGTAGCACTTCAGCCAGGCAATGCTTGAGGTGAGCAGCGTAGCCCATACATGGCTTTCTTTAGCATAGTTTGTTCTGTAGTGGACAAAGTTCTTCAGGTGGCCAGAGTGCATGTAGAAATGCCGTAGAGACGTCGCCTAGTCACGCTACCCAGTTTGGTCGTGACATCTGTAGTGCGAGAAGTGTTAGTGCCGTGAACATCGGTGTAGAAGCGTAGACGGAGTCTTCGTCCTCGATCTTCTCAGTGTAGCCTTTTTGCGACGATTCTACTTCGCACGCCTGCTCCTTTCTTTCTGTGGGCCCATCTTGTAGGTGTTGCTTCTTTGATGACGTTGTCGGCGACTGTAGACGCATCTACTTCCCCGCAGACGTCATGCAGTTGCAGTTGGTTTGATTGGTGCTTCATTCCTTCTAGTAGTTGTGCTGCGTCATAACCTTCGTTGTCGAAGATTCTGGGCTGGTCTTATGAGGTGTCATCGGTAGGAGGTGATGGATGTTCCGTTGGATGGTGCTACTACGTTGATTCTTTGTCGTAGTGGTTGTGGTTCTTTGGTTGCTTCTTCCGTTGATCTGATTGTTGTGTCCTTTGAGGTCTTCTGTGCTTTGGTTGGTTGTAGCATTGCAATCTTTACTCCATCTGGTTATGCTGTGCCGTTGTCTTTCTCGTAGCGATTGACGTCGTGTTCCCGTTGTAGGAATTGCTCTTCAAACTGCGCTTCATTGAATGTAGGTTCCAGTAGTTTGGAAAGGTAGCCAACGCTTCGTGTTCCTACTCGTAGGCTGAACCATTTGCGTTGTAGCGGTTTTGCCTTACTACTGTAGCTGCTGCATATGTTGATGAGGATAGTGTAGATCTCTGGCGAGGTCTACTGCTTTGCTTGCTTGTGTAGGGTCTCGAATGTGTGCTCTGGTGTAGCACAAGGTCGAGACTTCGGTCTATGAGTCTGAGGTATGCTTGTGGCTTGAACAGCCGTTCTTCATACTGGGGGTAGTCACCAGTAAAGAAAGGTTGTGGCAGTTTGTATTTGTGTAGTCTCTGAACGTCGTTGTCTTGCTCCTGTGTTGCTCCTGCTCCCGTAGTCGTGGCCCCTACTGCTTCCGCTGCTGTTGGCCCATTCTCTGTTCCTGTAGTTTGCTATGCAGATGCTGATGCTGCTTCTCCTGACATGTCGTCTCCGCTACCACGTTACAATCGGACTGACTGTTGCTTACTACAAGTGCCAGTGCTGTCATGCTGTTAACACAAACAAACCTGTAGCCTGCGCAGCTTCTGCGTGTTGTGCGAGCTGAAGGCTTGCGGTCATGTGCAAGCTATGTAGTACAACACCGCCTGCGCATTGACATCTTTCTCTGACAATTACTACAAGTGCAGGTGTACAGCGCATCATGTTATTTGACGGCCTTATAATCTGTAGTATCTTACAACTGCTGCTGCTTAGGCGTTGTGTTGCTGCCAGTAATTCCTTTGTTGTTGCTTCAGTTGTTGTAGTCTTGAATTGTAGCTGGAAGGCTGCGAAATGAATTTGTTGCGTAGTTGGAATTGTTGGCATTGCACGCGGTCTCAATTGGTGTGATGTGCAAGTCAGTGCATGAATTGCAGATTGTAGTTGAGTTGAAGTGGTTGAGCAGTGGCTCGTAGTTTGTGGACAAGTAGTCCAGTAGTGCTAGCCGCTGCGGTCGGAGTAGTTGTCTCCCGGGGTATCTTTGCGTTGTCAAACTTCGCCGAAGTTGTTGTTGGAGATTGTATTCCTGAAAAGGTTCGGGTGTGCCAACGGGTGGATGTCCTGGTCCATCTATAGGTGTTAAGAATGTAGTTCGTAGTGTTGTGTGGTGTCTTATAGTCTTGGCTGTCTTCTTGTGCTGTTCGTGGTCTATGTGTTGTTGCTTTTGGAAGTGTGTAGGTCTGTGCAAGGTGCGGCTTTGGGTCTCCATATCTTTTGTGGAGTCCGTAGTTGAAGCTTTTGTCTTGTCGGTGGTGTCTCTATTGTGGTTTGTGGTGATGAGCCTTCTGCCGTGGTGGTATAGTCTTTGTTGTCAGCCGGTTTGTAGGTGTGACTTTTCTTCAGAATCTGGCTTCTCCAGTCCAGTCATCACCTTCAAGTCTTCTTTGTAGTTCTTGCTTGGGAAGTTGCTTGGCGTTCTCTTGTAGTTGTTCTTGATCTTGGCCTTCTCTGTTGATGATAGTTAATTGCCAAC